TAGGGCACTTTTTCGGCTCTACTTTGGGGTTCAAAGATTTGTATCTCACACTTCGGGGCTGTCAAGATCTAGGGGTAAAGGGCCGCCAGTCAAGTTGGATTTACTGTTGTGACATTGATGTTACTCATACAAGCTAGATTCATAGCTCAATTATTTTGAAGTAAATTCTGTGCTAGAGGAGTGGCCAGTTAAGCAAAGCTACAATATTTTGAAAGAAGAGATTGAAAGTCTAGATAGAGTAAGTTTCAAGCTGAAGAGTTCCTTAAATGTTATTGTTGATATTGCTATACCACCAATGTAAACACTAGACTAGCATACACGACCAATTAGAAATGGGAAGCTATATAATATAAGTCTTCAATTTCAAAATGTGTGCAAGGGAAGATCAAGCTAGCAAAGGAGTTGAAGTGCATAATCACAAAGACAAACTATATCAATGTTGTGGCTAAAGAGTTTGTTGTTGTGATTGAGATATGAAAGAGTACGAGCTACACTTTCAGAATCTATGAAAATCCATCTTGTACCTATCTAGATTTTATACAAAGGGAGAATAGGGGAAAGGCATATTTAGCTTGCAAATATATTTATTAGATTTTTATGTAGGAACTAAACCAAGATCCTAAGATTAACCATCACATCCACCAGACAAGCCTTACAATTGTGGAAATTGAGAAGTGTTTTTAGATTGTTTTTAGTGTTCGGATCTATATTTATATTTGTATTTTATTGGTCGAATTTACTTGGAAATATAGATTAAATCAAAATTTGAAAGATGAAAACATGTTAGTCAAGATAAACCAATGTTTTTCTTGTGTTTGAGAAGTTGAGAGCTCAACTTGTGAACTCATGAGCTCAAAACCTACCCAAGCTCACCGAGAAGCAATTCAAGGCCGAGGTGAGCACAATTGGAAGAGTACACAATATCAACTTGGTTTGCCTCCTTGGCTACTGTGCAGAGGGAGACCACCAACCTCCTTGTCTATGAGTTTTTGCCAAACAGTTCTCTCGATCACCACCTCTCAGCCTTGTCCTCATTCATTGCCTCACAAGAAATCTTCTCAACGTGGGAGACACAACACTCCATCGTGCTCCACAAAAAGTGTGGTGAGCGCATTGTCTACTGCGATATCAAGCCACAAAACGTGCTGCTGGACGAGAGCTCCGGCCAAAGGTGTCCGACTTTAAGCTGGTGAGGATGATGAGAAAAGAATTGATGAGCATCACCACCATGCAAGGAACCAGGGGTACCTCACTCCAGAGTGGCTCGAGAGCCAATCCATCACCCCCAAGGCCGATGTCTATAGCTTTGGATGCTCCTGCTGGATATCTTGAGTGGCAAGGGAGCTGGGTGGTGGAGACAAGGAATCCGAGAATGCACCACTGCTGCCACCTGGCGAATGGTATTTCCCAATCTATGCCTTCCACAAGTACATGACCTCAGAGCTGGAGAGCATTCCCGATCCAAACCCGGCAAACAGCGCTCAAGATTGCACTGTGGTGCATCCACCAGGATCCAGGATCCAGGTCAGCAATGAGCCACATGGTGCAGATCCTGGAGGGCAAAGTGGAGGTGCCAGCGCCACCATTTCCAGACGCTGGTGAGAATGATCTTTAGTTTTCTTATTTAATATTATTAAGTG